ATCCGCAACTTGCCCTTCACGGCCTCTGAGACGGAGCTGGAGGAGTTCTTTGGACAGTGGGGAGCGGTGCAACAGGTGAGTAGGGCAAGGCCCAGGCTACGCGCAGCGATTCCACCGAGTGATGAGCACAACGCACCAGATGGGGACAGCTTAGGCCACAAACGGCACTTGGTATGCTGATCACGCAAATGGTGTTGCTAGTAACAATATCGAGATCTGAATGGTGGAAGAGTTTGGGATGATTTTCAGGAGGGATGGCACGCTGTGCACGACGGGAGACTGACCCGAACCCGTCCCCACCCTCTTGCTTGATTGGTGCAAAGGCGCACATTCCGCTCGACAAGACCACGAAGACCTCGAAAGGCGTGGCCTTCGTCCGATTCGTCGACCCTTCGAACGCGCTCTCTGCGTTTCGCGAGTCGAACGGTACAATCTTTCAGGGACGGCTGTTACATTTGCTGCCAGCTGTAGAGATGCGCAAAGAATTGGAAACGGATAGTGCCGCCAAGAGCAAGTCACTCAAGACTCAGCGCAAAGATCAGCGCAAGGACGATTCGGGCAAGGGATTCAATTGGGGCATGTTGTACATGAGTGCCGATGCTGTTGCAAGCAGCGTCGCCCAACGCCTTGGAATTGAAAAGGCTCAAATTGTTGGTGCAGATGGGGACGCAGACGGAGGTTCCAAAGGTCTTGGCCCCGCCGTGAAACTTGCTCTCGCAGAGACGAGGGTCATCCAAGAGACGAAAGCGTTCTTGGAGCGAGAGGGAATCGATGTCGAGGCTTTCGAAGCTCGGAATGGAGTCAGACCACAACGCAGCGAGACGATCATTTTGGTCAAGAACATTCCTTATGGAACGTCGGCAGCCGCTCTTCGTGAGCTCTTCGAGAAGCACGGCGAAATTGGAAGAGTCTTGATGCCGCCTGCGGGTACGATGGCCATCGTTGAGATGGTCTTACCTGGCGAAGCTCGCGTAGCCTTCAAGGCTCTAGCTTACAAAAGGATGGGGAACAGTATCTTGTACCTCGAGAAAGCACCGGTGGGTCTTTTGAGGAAGGACGAGGAAGCTGCTAAGACTGCGCCGCCCAGCGTACCTGCGCCACCCACGAAGGAAGCGCAGATGCTTGGCTTGGGCAATGGCTCGGGCAACGAAGCCCTATCAGAGCCCGGCGCGACTCTGTTCATCAAAAATCTCAGCTTTGCCACCACGGACACGGGGCTAGCAAAAGCCTTCCAAAGCCATCGAGACTTTGCCTTTGCTCGTATCCAGACGCGCCCAAATCCACGTGCTGGAAATGATCCGGGTGCGAGCGCTCGTCTAAGCATGGGATTTGGCTTTGTTGGCTTCAAGAATGTCGATGCTGCCAAGTCGGCCTTGAAGGCATTGGATGGCAAGGATCTGGATGGTCATACTCTCAGCATCGCTTTCGCCAAGCGCGGACAGGATGAAGACGGTCCGAGCAATACCTCTAGTGCCACGAGCCAAACTTCGACCACGAAGCTGATGATCAAGAATCTGCCTTTCGAAGCCACAAAAACAGACGTGCGACAATTGTTTGCTGCTCATGGCCAACTGAAGTCGGTGCGGGTGCCACGAAAAGCAGCGACAGGCTCTTCGAGTGCTGGTGGAGCGCGCGGATTCGGCTTTGTCGAGTTCACTACGCGAAGAGAAGCGGAGGCTGCAATGTCTGCGCTCAAGCATACTCACCTGCTCGGAAGACATCTCGTCATTGCCTGGGACAAGGAAGACGCGCAAGGGGTCGAGGGTGTGAGGAAGAGAACCGTCCGTGCGCTCGGAGAGACTGCAGGAGAGGAGAGCGTGGCGAGGAAGAGAAAACTCAAGCTGACCGAAGAGGATATCGCGGAGGCGGCACAGAAGGAGCTTGAAGAGAAGGATGAAGACGATGATTAGCTTTGCTCTCGGCATGCCTTTTGACTTTGTACAACCGCCAAGCGTGTAACACTATTATTGCTACTACCGCACTTTGCTTCCCCAAATCAACAAACGTCGCGCCTGTACCGTCGTTTTGTATTTGTATGCTGCGAGCTATGCTTCGCGCGGGCGCGCGTTTAAGTACCGCTCTAGTCCATTACCTACTAGAATGCCTGAGTAGCACGAAGATGCGGGCCAGATTCACGAAAGCGGAAGGAGTGTAACACATGAGCGCGAGTTTCGCAGGGCCTAAGGATGCGTGCGGATGCGGTAGGTGCGCGCCCAGCGCCACGAATAGAAAAGGCCCGCGGATCCGCGCACCTTTTTTACCGACCAAAAAAGGGCTGTGCGCGGAGCAGCACGATGAGCGGTCTCATGCCACACACACACAGG